ACACACACACACACACACACACACACACACACACACACACACACACATTTAAAATATCGATTTATATATATTTATAATATTTTCATTTTTACATAATATTCATTAACAGGTATCTTTGTATAAATATAACTGTAATTTAATATTCAACTTTATTTTTTTTTTTATTTTAAATATATATAAATCATAGTTGTGAAAGCATAGTGAAAGTCCCTCGAATAATTTAGTTTAATGCAAATGATGTTTTTCGTATAAGAGATTTTGTAAGAGATCTCCGGATTGAGTACGCCGATTTTAATCAGACTCGTCACAATGAAAAGCTCGTATTTTGAATATATAATCAGTAGTTTAATTTTAATCTCGGTTCAACTTACTCTTTATCTTTTTGTAATTTTTAGAACAAGAAAAAATGAAGAGTATATTATACCAAGATTAAAGTTAATGTACATTAATAGAAATGAGCATAAATGTTCGCCTCTCTCCTTCTTCTCCCTTTTTTTCATCTCTTTTCTCGCTTTTCCTTTTTTGTCGTTTCTCGCTTTTTCCTGCCTTTTTTCATCTTCACACGCATGCACGCTCTCTCTCTCTCTCTCTCTCTCTCTCCCCTCCCCCTTCTCTCTCCCTCCCTTCCTCTTTCCTCCCCCTCTCACGCCTTTTCTCATTCCCTTCTTACTCTTACTTCCTTCTTTTTATACCCTTGTCACAATCTTTTCATTTTGCTCTCTCTTCCTCATAAATAATTATTACACGTGCGCATATTAATGTTTATTTTCATTACTAATTTTAATATCATATTTGAATAAAAACATTGTGAAAGCAACTTGACGGACAAAACACTTTACATGTATGCATTAATACATGTAGCTGAAAAAAATCGGAAAATCTGAAATAGTCCTTTTTAGGGACTTTTTTTGGTTTTGACATATCCGTATTTTGACTGCATCAATTTTATTCGAATTAGTCATAATCGAAAAATCGCGCTATTATATAATGAAAATGTTGTAGATTACCATATTGATTGCGATTTTAATTTCTGAATAATTTTAATCAAAAGCTTGTTGATGTCAAATCTCCGATTTAAAGCTAGTGGTAGCGTCGCGAACTTACCAGATAACAAAATCGCACAAATGATATCATAAATTACCCACACGGCATGCGCATGCCGTGTGGGTAATCCATGTCACACTATGCATGTCACACATATGCATTCTATGAGGACGTATCTCTCTGATTTACTTGTAAGACTTACATATCCCACGCATGCGAGTAATATTAGACTCACATGACCCGCACGAGTGATGTCGCACACATATGAATCTTGTATTGCTCGCATGCATGCGTCATGCATAGCAGCGGTAGCGACTTAGGAGCTACATTAACGTTTGCATTATAAGCCGTGGGGAGGGGGAGGGGCAAGAAAAATCATTTTTATTATTATTATTATTATCACTAGTATTATATTTTGGATCATGCTTTCTGTCTTGGAAGTGCCTTCTATTTTACAATATAGAACTATGTAAGCCATAAGTACTAAAAAATTGACAAATCATCATAGTTGAATATGAAAAAAAAGCGTGCGTGATATGCTTGGCGTGACTGCATAATGCGATCCATTGCTTGCATGCCTCCATCATGTCATGCGGGCAGTATTTGCAAAAATCGATATTGCAAATATGAATATTGGTCCAGTATTGATATATTTCTGATATAAGTATCAATCCACTTTTCGAGCGCGTTCGAAGTATTGATATTGCTTAAGAGATGACGTATCTCATTTCCTTTAAAATAAGCATATATTATATTTCTTATGCGTCTACAATAGAAATCGTAGCGATTGTAGAATCTTAAGTCGTAAAAAATTAACCAATCACAGTCGAATATGAGAAGAATAATCGACTATGATTGGTCTTTCTACAACTACTGATTGGTTTTTCTAAAACTTAAGACTCTACAACCGCTACGACTTCTATTGTAGATCCTGCATATGTTTATTTTAAAGGAAATAATATGGAGTCTACAATAGAAGTCGTAGCGGTCGTAGAATCTTAGCTAGTCTTAAGTCGTAGAAAATTGACCAATCATAGTCGATTATTCTTCTCATATTCGACTGTGATTGGTTAATTTTCTACGACATAAGGCTACGACCGTTACGACTTCTATTGTAGCTAGACCCCGCAATATATTTTGTATGTGATTTATAAAGACTGGTAGATAGAATTAATAAAATAGTACTAAAATATTATTTGTTCTCTTCATGTATTGTTATCAGATAAACAGATTAATTGATTTATGTTTGTTTTTAAATTTTATTTAAAAAACGTTTTATTTTTATAATTTAATAATATTAAAAGGTAAAACTGCCCATAAAAATATATATCTTGTGATAAAAATAAATACATTTTTTAATGTGAATCTATTTTAAGGGAACTGTAAATAAAACCAGAAGTTTTGCGAAAGTATCGATAAGTATCGATACAGAGACTGTATCGATACTTTTTTGTATTGATTTTTTCGAACACTAATGGGTAGCATAATAATAGCGCGGTGTGTGCACGGCGTGATACGCACAACGTGATTGCATAATGCGATTCATTGTGCTCGCACGCATAGCCCCATTATATGGTGCGAGCAAAGTGGCATTCATTGTGTGATACGCGTGAGGGCAATATGAGCACATAAATTGTTATCTTATAATAACTGTACGAACGTATACGCAGTGACATTCACGTTTCAAATGGCTAGTTTTATATTTTTATTTTTTATGTTTGGTATTGCGTCGTTACTGAGTCGCTTGTAATATATATTTATAACATTTTAACAATCTCATTTCTACGTTAGGTTGCCCTAGACGAAGCGACTGATACGTGGGGAATAAAAGTGGAACGAGTCGAAATGTAAGTATATAAATTGCTTATTTTGTAGCAGCAATGACATATTCAATGAAATATAACTTTTTGTATGTGGAGAACGTGGTGTAGAGTATAGTGTGACTGCTTTCTATGCCGAAGATTCAGAGTTCAAATTTAACAGCACACAAAAATTTGATTTGATTGCTTTCGGAACACAATGGCAAACCACGGAGAGAATATTTGTCACTGCCGTTTAGAGCCAGTGTTAAAAAAAACTCTAAATCCCATACATCAGATAAATATATCGTATATCAAGTAGATATATCGAATAAAACTTAAGTTCTCAATTGAATTAGTAGTAGTTTCCTTCAAAAGTACTCTTATTGAAGGTCTTCTTGTTTCAATCCAAATAATGGCAGCTTTAATTCTCTGTCGAAAATTATTATTTCTCGAAGAAAACTAATGTATCAAATGAAAAATTAAAACCCAGATGCTACAGTTTTAACTAATCAAGTTACATTCTATCAAATTAAAAAGAAAGTAAAATCCATGATACTATCTATATTATTTGCTTAACTCTAATGATATGTATCATTCGTATAAAAGATTTGGTATCAACAAAACTGACGCCAAGTTAAATTCCCTGCATGAAATTGTTCCCTGCATGATTGGCATGCTTTCCCTTGATTGATGGAGATTCTGTAACAGGCTGCTCTATTCTCTGCCTTTGCTCTATGAGTGTTTCCAGTTTAGTAACAATCGCAAAATATTTACTTTTCTTTCCTCCTCATGAGGATTTGTCTCATCGTGATCATGTTATGTAACGCTTCAATTCTACCTTGAATTCCGTTGAACTCGTTCCAAATTGAACTGAATCTTTGTAATCGTGCGCACAGCTTAATGATCGAAACGCTCTGAATGTCCACAGCATCCACATATATCTGAAACCGTGTACACTGCGCCTTTACTGTCGCACGACGTTGTCTCATTGATTTGAGTTCTTGCACG